AGACCATGAGGGTAGACAGGACTGCTATCCGAAGCATCGGTCATAACGATGATAGCCTCATCCCTATCCTCTATCTCGATGACCTCCTGTACTTTACCGAATACCGACAAGTAAGCAGCTAGTGTCTGTGCTGGTCCAAAGCCAAGGCTCCCAATGTGACGTACAACCAACACATCCTCCTTGTTCTCGAATGCCATGGCCAACATAGCATCATCAATTGATGCCTTTCGGCACACCGGTAACGAATTCTGAGCCAAACCTTCAACTGTTGTCATCGCACGACTGCGGTTATGATGACCCGCGTTACTCCCCAGGTAGATCTGTGAGAGGTCCAGGCCATTACTGATCCCATAACCCTCATCAACAGCAGCTTCCAATGCGCCTGCGGCCTCCGGGCTCATCATACTCAAAGACAACACCTTCAGCTTCAACGTCTCATTTTCCAGCTCTAATAGACGTCGCTTCTGCCGCTCTTCATTCAGCTCAAAATGAGCCTGTGAAACAGCATTCGAGAGAGCAGTTATTCGTTCCTGCAGCTCGTCAGTGTCACCACGACATTCGAACGCCTGAACTCCGCTGACCACAGACTCGCTACCAACCGTGGGATCGAAAGCTGGATAGCCATCAAACTTAACCCTCCTACCAGGCGTATCATCTCCACTCGATGCCGAGGTCGTCGAGGCCGGCTCGCGGCCAGGGGGACTGGTCGCCTCCGAGGAAGAATGATGATCCGTGCTGTGCCGAGGGGAATAACCAAAAGGCAATTCAGGTGTTGATAGTGGATGTTGATGAGTGGCAGACATTGAGTTTATATCTACAAATATTAACTCGCGGAAAGGAACATGTAATTGGTATTTGAAGCACTGCCCTCCGCTGCCAGCAGCCTAAGTATAGAGTGAACGTTGAGGAAATGCAAGACACGCAAGATTTTCAAGCAAGAATTGAATTGCCCCTTGTGCCAAGTCGTAATTGGAACCGCATCATAATAACCGACGTATCGTACCGTAAAACATAGGTAAATCTGTTGGTCATGCTCAACTTGATGGGACCGAACTACCGACAGTCAACCGTCAATGGTATTATTGGTACCTCTGCCCCAACGCCGATTCTGCCGAAACTGACAGCACTACCATGAGGGCCGCAAGTTGAGGGAGAGTCCGCACTGAGTGCACATAGGAAACCCGAAAGGAAAAGGAATTGGCCAGCCTGCGCAATAGTCTATGCCTCAGTCGAAGTAAGCAGCGTCCCAACTCACTGTGACTCTCGATATGGTGGAATATGTCGTGGCAGGAAGGCCTGGGTACACCTCGTTCTCTGCAGCTTCTCGCCGAACACTTTCAGGAGGCAAGTGAAATTTCAGGAAGTCCGAATTTCGGACTGCAGATTGGTCAGAGGAAACCCACCCCGGGGAGTGCTGCCTAATATCTTCTAAATCCTATCGAACAGCGTACCTGATAGCTTTAACCCACTCAGGGACCTCATGGAAGGTCTGAGTTCTGAGCCACATGAAATAGGCGATAACGATGGTGGAACTCCTGCTGACCTGGGAGATCCGTATAGTAATCATCATACACTGGACAGCATGGTACCCCTTCAAAGCAATGGACCAGGACTTTGCCTTCGGCTTCCGTAATTGCCAAATGGGTCCATACTATAGCACGGTACAATACTGCAGGGAACATTGGCTCAGTTTTGGAGTCCTCCAAGGATAAGGTCAGGTATTTGGACACAAGCAATGGATATCTGGTTCACACGAGCTCCAGAAAACCCTACTCAGCTGGTTCTATGGTGTAACGGTTAGCACTCCAGACTCTGAATCTGGCGATCTGGGTTCAAATCCCGGTAGAACCTTTTCTACATCGGCGACCACGAATGTCTCCCGAACATCCTTGATGCCATTATCAGTGGAAGAGTTGCCGCAAACAGCATGTGTGTGTCATCCCTTGCTCTGCCAGTATATCCAAATTTGGAGCAATCTTCATCCCTCCGAGGTAGAGAGCTCCAGGCAAAATCTCGCTGCATTGCGACCTGGAACTTCCAGGCTGGAAGGAATTAACTATCAACCGCCAAATCCCTCACCTAATACCTGTACTGATGTAGACGAAGCTCATTCCGAACGTCCCCAGGGAGATGGGAATTGTCGGTTTCAGAACGAATGCCGAATAACTGGATCAAATCCAGGTCAATTTTCGACCTGACAACGGCAGGTGCTTCTTCCAGGAAGTAACCTCAGAGGATCAAGCCTATTTGGCAGTGCCTAGTTGGCTCCATATGGCCGACTGCTGTTGGCGATGAAGAAATTTTATGTACATCCGACGGCTGCTTTTGCAGTTGCAGCCCATTACAGCTTCACACCTTGGCGAGGCTAATAATCCCGCTGTTAGCCGGTCTACGCCCCCAAAGTGACAACTATATCTCAACACTCGCACAATAATAGTGAAGATTTGGTTACAGTTGATAAACCCTAGATTTCTTTGCTTATGGTCATCAGTCTTAGCGGAGCGATGCACACGCAATGTGGCAGGTTACAGAACAGTACGGGCTGACGACTCCATTACTGCTGATCCTCTCTCCGACAACCTCTATATGGTGCAATGTGAATAAAAACAACTACCGAGGTGACAGTATGCAATGAGAAAAGATGGCATTGACGATCAGGCCAGGGGAGAAAGCAATCACCAGTTGTCTTCATTCCAGAAAGCCTCCGGGTCGCTCAACGTACTGAGGAGTTCCCAATGCTAATGCCGAGACATGTGACCATTAAAACTCACCAGACTTCTTCTGGGGCTGCAAACCTCCAACTTGTGGAGCTTTTTGTTGACCTATGGGTTTCGGATGGGACTGCTGCGGTGACGGCCTGGTAGTTGTCGAGGACAGATCGACTAGTGGCGGCTGAGTAGCACGTGGGGGCGACGAAAACGATCGACCGTGGAGGTCGTGACTCTCTGCAGGATGCGTAGGAGTAGGAGTGGTGACTATCGAATCCGCACCGAACCCCTAAAGAGACACCTCCAGGCCACAGCCTCGACATCATTAAACGTACTTGCATCTTCCCAGTCGACAAGGAGTTGAGATAGTCAGCTGCTGCCTCTCCTCGAGCAGAAGACCCCCGAGTAGTGTTTGATGGTACTGATGGCCGCACAGAGTCCGACCCAAAGCCCTACACCCAACACTCAACCTCCGATACCCCCTCACTGACCTTACTACCTCCATGGTCCCCGACGACAACGTGCCGAGATACTGAGCTGCCTGCTCACCTCTAGCTGAGCTACCAGTACCACCAAGTTGCTGCGAGAACCAATCCGATGTTGAGGATATCTTAGAGCGAACCTGAAGTATCACCATCCATCTCATCATGAACCAGTGTTGGAATAGATATTCGTAGTCTTCAGCTGAGTCCAGGAGTTTCCTTACTAATTACAGGAGTTTACATACAAATTCGGGCGGAAGCATACAGAAACCAATGGGAATTTCCTCAAAATTTCACCTACACATGTAGTTGAATATGTGCATATTTTCCAACACCATCATGGACCTTCCCGTATAACCTTATCCTTGAATGCCTCATCAGTAACCGTACTATACGCTTCAGAGCTCTTCTGAGCTGCCCAGTTAGCGTAACTCTGAGCCGTCGCATTCCAGCCATCCTGTTGTATTTGTTGACTCTAAGCAGCGAATAGTACAGACCTACCATAACAGCATCAATTATTACCGCCGACCGGACCCAAGATGCAGCGCCAGAGAGCATGTTTCCCAAGGGATCATCATCATCGTGGGTTTCCTGATTCCAGTAGTCCCCCCGGTCCGACCCTACTACAGCAAGCTGGGCTACCCAAAGTGTACCCAATCCTTCGCCCTACCTCCCTGGGGCTGTGCCGCGCTATACCGATCAGAGCTTCCTTGATGCATTCTGCTAGACATTCCATCGTTTCCAAAGCCCGTGATAGTACTCCGGCCGGTTTGACGTTGTGCTTTGAGTCCGTTGCTACGACCATTGGACGATACCAAGCCCGAGCCTGGCGGGGTAGAGACACTCCGTTGACTACCACTAGTCGACGAAACCGGAGGAGGATCTAACAAGCATCACCCACTCATCACAGGGCAAACTAATTCCTTTACATGCAGGCATTTTCCCTTCTGCGATAGAAGGCCTCTCAGGCGGGGCGGTCCCATCAACCGAGGCTTGAATGTAGTTCCTGTAGTACTCCGCTGCCTTGGTATTGTACTTCTCCGAGATCGACATCTTATCGATCTCCTGGCACCCATAATCGTCCGCGCCTCAAATCGTTTGCCGCGAGTGCTACCATCTCTCGACAGAATTTATTGAACTTGCCGTTGCCACCAACTTCCATCTTCTTCAACTGCTTGGGGTTCCACGTATCCATCGTGGTTGACCGCACAAAACTAAGGTGCACTCCGAGAGATCGATGCTTTCCTGGATACCATAATTCACCCACATCCTCAAACCAACTGCCTAGGATACTACCAGAGCAGACTAGACAGAAATAGATCCCATAGGGGACGCTGGCCCACTGTGGGTTGGCAGCACCGCAGTCACAACAGACAGCGTTTTCGGGGTCCTCTTTTCGACGTGCTACGAAAAAACTCTTCGTTGACGGGTCCATGGTGAGAACAATAGAAAACTAGCACAGTAGTTGGACTGATATAGGGCCTGCCAGGACTACAACCACAAGTGCTGGGGAGTAAGCACCTGCTAGTTGGCGAAGCTTTTACTAATTGCTCGGGGACAAAGAGGCAAACGGTCCCGTTTGTCCCGAAGACCTACTGTCGCTATTGAGTAGCCCACCTCACGCAAGTCAACTCTTGTTACCAGCGCAATATGGAGGATCGCCGATTGGAACGATTATGCATAGAAAACCTGCGTGAATTTCGGAGTTATTCGCGCGCGTATAATCGTCGAACCTGGGATGCAGATAATCACACTCTTCCCAAAGCAACTATCATCGATGTCATCGGATCGTTCATAATTTCGTTTCCACGCCCTGCTTCGGTCCTGTTCCTATTCGAACTAGGAAATCATTTTTTAACTGGCTGACTTGAGTCTCCAGAGATACGTGGGTGCTATCGTTGGACACCCCATGCTAATCGGTTATCAATGCTATAATAATCAGGCATATGCCGCTTTTGTGAGGCTCACAGCTCAAACCTGATACAATCCCACGAGTGAAATACTCTTCTCCATCACAACACCCGTTGGTTGTTCATAGTTCCCTTCCAACTATCACCACCGATGAAAGAGAGATCTCATTATGACTGACTGCACTTAACACAGTATTGACGAACCCACGATCTTAAAAGGGTGGATAAAAATATCGCGAATAATACACAAGTAGTCGTTAAGCAGTGGGGCCTAGAGACCGAGCAGCTCCTTGTTGATATCATCGTCTTCATCGTCATCATCATCCATTGGAGTAACCGTCGAGGACTGCTTCTGTTGTTGTTGTTGTTGTTGTTGTTGTTGCTGTTGATGATGATGGTCATCTGACTCTTCAGGAGTCTGGAGTGCCGCCATGTGCTGGTAGTACTTCAACCAACAAGCACGGCGATAAGCCTCGAAGGCTTCTGAAAATTCAAGTCACGAGTATCCCCCATCTCAGTCCAAGAACACGAGAGGGTACTCTCATCGACGCGGATTCCATCAAAAACACCAGGTTATTTCAGTAGGTATGCTGTTTATACGCCGACCAATACCAATACTTTCATCACTACCTTTATCGTTGGGATCGGGGGCAGGACCATACCCAGAGTCAGGACCTGAGCGTCGTTGCACACTCTCAGCAGCAGCAACAGGAGGAGGCGGCGCCGACATCCTTTCGAGGGCCTGATGGACGTAGTAAAGACGTGGCGTAGAGGTAACCTTACTTGCCGCTTTCGACGTTGCAACTCGGTCTCTTCTGGGAGCTGCTGGGCACTGGTTTGGTAATGCCTGTTGAAGCCCGGTGGTGGTGTAGGGAAGGGGGGAGGCACCGGCAACCCCTGGGACATGGGATCTGGAGAAGCAGAGTGACGAACCTGGTCTGTGACTGCTGAACTCATTACATGGAGCATGTTGAGGATATCCCTGTGTACCTCCCCATGGAGGAGGCTGTTGAGGAGAGTACCCAGCCATGGGTGCTTCTTGAGGCCACCAGCCATCACTATGCCTGAGGAAGAGTGCTGAGAAGTGGTATGGATACGCCAAGGCGTGCTCACCCGACCGGGTGTGCTCCCGATGGCGGAACAGATGGCCGTTGTTTGTCCTCCAACACTACACCGAGGTCGGCAGCAACTCGGTCGATGGCCTCCTTTCGCCGCGCCAAACCAGCATCGATCTGCAGAGCACAGAGATCCAAAGTAACACCACCATATCCAGTCTTGTAGCATATCGCTTGAGCGGCTATCCAGCACAATACTATCGTGCAAAGCATATGGAAAAGGCCGATAGACTGTCAACGAAAGCCCCAGGGATGAACTAGATAGTGAGCGGGGTAAACCTGAATCCTATAGGGGTATATGCGTACTGATTCGACACGTTAAAATTTTTCAAAGCGATGATTTTTAGTTTGAATTGAGTATCGCTACATCCCTGCAGTGACGCCTACTACCTCGTTAAGCATCCTTTTCCAAGCTGGATCGCTGACGATGAGTGCAGGTGGAGCACCAGAGGATACTAGCCGTCGGACGTCTGCAAAGTTGGTAGAGGACGGAGGCGCCATACTAAGGAGACGAGCCGCTGGAGATGATCACTCAACAGGCCAACAATAACGGATTAGTTCAAACGCGAAGTATCGGGGCAGCCGGGCGCAAATGGACGATGTAGGTTGCGCGAATTCTTCCGCAGCCGGAAAATATCGCGCATGTCATAAACTTCGCGCAGAGCAAATCGTCCATTCAACCCTTTCACGATGGTCGTCGTCGCCCTTTCATCAATCCTCCATTTTTTCTCACCGACTGCATGGGTGTTCCTGACAATCTCTACCTCACTAACACTGTAATATCCTCGGCCGTACACGACTGCACCTGACCTCACTTGAATCTTATCGTCTTCAACCTTGGATGCGTCTCTCTTTTCCAGATACTTCGGCGTTCGGGCCACCATTTACTCAGCGAAAGCCATCCTATTGGAGCTTAACCTTCGTTTCTGGCGAGCAGTCTTAGTGCGGTTTCCCAGCTTGGGCGTGGGCCTGGCTCGGAAGGTGGCAGCAACGGAACCGTCCGGTACTGTATTGGGGATCAACCTGGTAGAGCCGAAGTCTATCGGGCGAGTCAGTTCGACTGGAGACGATCCTGAGGGAAAGAATGACGAACATAAAGGGGTGAAGCGTCGTGCTGTACACCACGCTGGTGGGAATGGAGCTGAGCCCGGGGAGATCATAACGAAAAACGACTCGAAGGCCACTGACTCTTGTGAAGGGGCAGTCAGTACTGCAGCGGCTATGGCAACTCTTAGAGCGGTAATAGCTGGGGGGTATAGTGGAATGATGGATAGCGATGTCGTGGGCATAGGCACGAGCCGCAGCACGTATTCATCGTACTGTGCGCCACGAGATGGAGCCGAAGATCAAGCCTGGAATGCGGCTGGACACTTTTGTGGAGGAGTTGGAGAGTAGAGTGAACATGCACGCTAAGTTCGATCCCAAGCGACCACTTGAGCGTGGCTGGGGCTTTCCTACTGGTAAGTATGCGGGTAGTGTATATCCACATGGAGTCTCTCACCATAGGCGTGTGCTTGAATGAAGTTGCCGCTCACTTTACGCCCAACAACCCGGCCTTCTCCACAGCACCTCCGCCCCAGTCTATCATATACACTGCTAATGATGTGCTCAAGGTAGAGACGCCCCCTTGTCCTGGTGCCTCCCAAATCTTGCTGCTCAGGTCGACTTTGGAGTCCATGTCGACGGCCATATAATTGACTGCGCTTTCTCCGTTACCCATAACCCTCTTTTGGTGCCTTTGCTAGGTAGTAAGGAGGGACGCTGTAGCGTCCATACCAGAGAAGTGTACTCCTACTTCAGAGACAGTAAAGGAAGCAACATACGCAGGCATACGCACGGCTGGAGTTGATGTGCGGGTGTGTGATGTGGGTGCTGCTGTCAGCGAAGTAGCGATGGAGTGCTTCGTTTCGGCTCCTCCATACGTGTGTTAGGTCATGAACTCGGGTGAGCTCGAGGATGGATCCCCAGTGAGGGCCATCTACAACCTGTGTGGTCACTCTATCGGCAACTACAAGATTCACGATGGTCTGGCCATACCCCTAGTGGATAACGGAGACCAGGTGAGCGACCGCCGGCTGGAGGTATCGTGGAGTGCTCACTCTTCTTAGACTAAAATGAAGGCTAACCAGCTCTACGCCGTGGAAACCTTTGGAGGTGCTGGTGGTGGAATCACTGGTTATGTCACTAGCAAAGTAATATGGGGTGTTGAGTGAGAGGGGCAGAGGTTTTCGGGATCTCAGGGGGAGTCGAGCCATTTCATGCTGAGCCCTTACTACGAGCAGTTTAGCCGTCTTCTGTCGGCCAACGGCAAGAGGACTCTCTCCCACATACTTAAGCGTTTCAGCACGATGCCGTTCGCTGGTAGTATATATATCGCAGTCTTTTTATCGATGGAATTCGATGTCAGACCGGTGGCTGTCGGCGTTTGACTGCGGAAATTTGAGAGAGCTCGTGCGGTATAATGTGGTGATGGACTGTCCTCCGTTGGTGGACGCTGGTCCGGGAGGATACATAGCGCAGTTTGAGCACACCATCATGTGTGGGGAGATGGGAACGGAGATAATATCAAAAGGACCGGATTATTAGCTGTCATTAGCCTCGGCGATGTTCCTGCTGCAAAGCGCTGCTTGTGTTGCGATCGGAGTTGGGGTTGTGGGAAGGGGTGTGTTGGAGAAGTAGGGTTTGTATGGTTGAGAAGGACCCTAAGGTGAAAGAGCTGGAGAAGAGAGCACGAGGTCGACAGCCCTATGTCTATGATGGCCACGTAGTGTATGAATGGGAGCAGACGCAAGATGAGGTTATAAAGGGGGGGCCGTCCTAGGGATATACTTGTGCTCGATTACACTATCGCTGTGTTGTTACGGACTGAGCCTCACATATGTGTCTTTCTTTCCTTTGGCAGGTGCATGTATATGTTAAGTTACCATCAGGGTGTGCTAAGGCCAGCCAGTTCTCTATAACGCTGGAGCCTAAGCGAGTTAAGCTCAGTTTAAGAGGGGCACATCAGTTTTACCTTAATCACACACCGTAAGGCCGACCACTGCCTTGCAGTAGATTGGTATATGATGAAATCTCAGGGCCGGCCTAGTGGATAAGGATGACTCTACGTGGTTCATAGAAGACGGGGAAGTGCACATTATACTAGCTAAGGTGGTCAAGGAGTGGTATCGGATGGAGCTGGTGGTCAAGACGAATACACTTGTTCAACTGGTGTAGGCCCGTAAAGCGGAGCTATGGCCGTCGTGTTTCGAAGGACAGACTCAGTTGGATGCCTTTACCCAGAATGAGCTTAGCAAGAAGCTCATGCTTGAGAGATTCCAGGTGCCGCCCAAGCGGGAGTAGTCTGGTGGACAATACTTGTACGATGGTGTCAGGAGGAGCATCCTGGGTTCGACTTCTCGGGAGCGGAGTTCAACGGCAATGTGCCCAACGCGAGGGAGTTCATGGGCGGCGTTCAGTATAAGTGATACTGTGTATGGTCTCTCGATTGTGTGATTGAATTATTGTGGTTTCTGGCACGAGCGTTGCCCGTGTTACGGAGGTTTTGCGCTTGCGTGCTGGGCTGCTGGTCTTGGTGAACACTTCGTCTCATGACCACTCTCTGTGGGGGGTATCGATCCTTGATATCCTCAAATCTTCCCTAGAAGCGAAGCAGCAGCTGCTTGGTGAGGGTCGTGCGTAGGCCTGATTCGATGTAGAGCAGGATGCTGCCACGGGTAGGCTCTGGCGGGCCTCTAGCTGGCATGCCTCGGGCAGCACCTCTCTTATCTGGCTTGGTCATGCCATAGATCCTGAAATAGCCGTAGGGTTGTATACGGGCTCGTGGAATGGGCGATCCTGTCAGACCGCTGGCTAACTATGTAGCTGGTTCACCAGAGCGGAGGAAGTGTTTAAGAAGGAGACCCTGCCCTATGTATTGGCACTAGGCTTCCTCATGTGTGCCACTTGTGGTTGCTTCTTCGATGCTGTCTTATTGATTCGTTGAGTCTCTGTGGCGACGACTTGTATGTTGCATCAGTTTTGTATGGCGATTCTGTCCACCAGCAAGCATCTGTCTCTGCGGGAGTCGGGCTCCCTACGTAAGCGGATGTTGCTGGCCGTGGTCGTCCTCCTGTCCCTCTCCTTGTGTTTCGTATTGGCCCTCATCAACACTTTCATCCACCATGAGCAGCAGCATCACCATACATTTTATGGCACCAACAAGTACATTGTCGTTAGTCTAGCCGAAGGTCAGTGCACCACCACCCCCACTCGGCCGAGGCTGAGCCGTGTTCCTCAGTTATCAAACTGGCATGTTGCATCTCTCTATATGTGGCCGTTACGAAGAAAGTATCTGATGCATCCGACCCCGCCGCCTCACGGTTCGGCTTGGCGACAGTCGTGCGTTACACTACTCTAAAGGAGGCCCTTGCGTATTGCATCCCCGCGGTAAGAGGTCCGCTGCCGATGGCTGATGTGACGTGTATTCGCCTTAGGTTGTCTACCTTATAGAGAACAACAGCATCTTTGTAGCTCTTGACTTACTGGATTCACCGGCAACCTTCCAGCTCTTATTGAATATGAAGATCATCATCACAGCCCTCCTGTTCCGGTAGTCTGCAGGTCCATCGCAATAGCCAACACCGTTAGCCCTCGCCTGGCAGGTACTTCCTCGGCCGCTCTCTCTCGACAGCCCAATTTGTTTGCACAGTCCTTTGTGCGATTGGTCTGTGTATCGCCGTGATTGCATCTGGGACGGAGTGGCAGCAGCAGCTGGTGGCGGCCGGTGATGAGGGCTTAGATAGGCAAAGCAGCCGATGGGTCAGGACAATACTGGGTACAGGTTTGGATAGGGTACCGTTGCTCGTACCCTCGAATACTAGGTGCCAGCATAGTATCAGGGATCGCCTTGATATCCTCATTCTCCAACATATGGGTTGAGTACCTCTTCCAGGACCGTGACAAGGAGATCCCCTTCCTCCTCCGGAATTCAAGGATATACATGTGGGGAGCGCCCTTGAACTCAATAGCCGTTGTCGCCGCTGCAATCGTGACAGGGGAAGCGCCTACAATAGAGGCATTCAAAGCGGCTTTAGGTGAGTCTTATTGCGACCATCGCGATGACCACTGAGTGCAGTTACTGCTGTTGGATTGTCTGTGGTGGGTCTGGCAACAGCTGTAGTACTCAACTATGGTGACAACATGATAAATGCATACGTACATGCCGGCACACTTGTCTGTACAGTAGTGGTCGCAGCCTTGCTCTACTCGGACTACTCTAAACTGAAATCGCCGTGGTTTATAATAGGAGCAGTGGTGGTATCGGCCTCGGCGATAGGCTACCGCTTAGGGGCGGCTGGCAGCGAGGCGGAGGGGATCTCTCGTGTTCCATACGCGAAGGTACATCAACCTGGTTTGAGTAGGCTCAGTACAATTTCGGAGGCCAGCGATGAGGGGTCGGAGATGTCCATGGGAGAGATCGAATGATCGATACATACGTGGCTCGTACCAACTGAATTTGTATTTTTTTCAAGTATTTTTTCAGTTGAGCGTTGCGTTCCCTGCCTTTATATGGGCTCGTCCGAAGCATAACAGACGCCGTTGATTTTTTATCGGATCATGCTTTACTTTGGCGGTATCTCGCCTTCGGCCTTACCTTCATTCGGTCACCCGGGCTTCTTCTCTCCTCCAATGGGAGGTACCCTATCAGAGTTGGATGATGGCAGTCCACGTGAAGTCCCACCCTCGGCCAGGCTGGTCGGATCAAAAGTGGTGCCCGTGGGTGCCCCCGCCGCCCCAGCTATGTCCAACACTGAGGCTGTTACCTCAAAGCTCTCAAGAAGCGCTTCCTTCACACCACAGAGCGGCAACACTCCTCATCGTCCTCGACCTCCGTCGGTTCGGCCATCCACAGCATCATCATTATCCCGTTTTGGACGGGGTTCTAGTGTCGGTCGCGACCCGTTGGATAGGATGCCATCAACCACGGAGATAAGACAGGCCTTGATCAGGTCTGCGTCAGCTAAGGGCTCATTTATGAGGAGTGAATCACGCGTGGCTGTTGATCGGCCAACTGTGTGCTCGGCCAGCCGATCGTTGTCAGCGAAGGCTTTGTTGAGCAAGCCGAGTAATACGACCAAAGCGGCGGCCCTAGAGGGGGAGATAAGTGGTTTAAGGAGGAAGATAGGAGAGTTGAGAGAGCTCAGAAGGAGGAACCAGGAGACCATCGAGGTCTTGACCCAAGTCGTGAGAGATTTAGGACGCTCCAGAGCCTTCGCGAATTCACTGGTTCGAAGCCAGTCCATGAAGGGGCCTTTCATCTGAGGTTCCTCCTTGCATGTATAATAACGTAGTGGTTCCCTTTGGAGGCCTTCCTTGGTAGTAGGAGGTGGCATGATTTGTTGAGTGAAGGTTGTTATACTGTTGTATACTGCGAACGTGTTCTGTTGAGTGCTCCGAGAGGGTCGTGGCTGCCGCTACGGTTGAGGTGTTTTGTGCAGTTGACTTTATTTTTACCAATTGTCAATCATATCATGTCTAGTACGGACGACTCGTCACCAGGGAGTTCATCATCGGCTGAGACACCAGCCTTTCAGGAGAGCCCCGGGGACCTTGACAGTCCTGTGGAGGAGGACTCAGTCGCGGTGTACTGTTGGGGTGACAACTGGTGCGGTCAGTGTCTTACGGAAAACGAGGAAGGCAAGAGCGTTGTGGAAAGGTGGGCAACGCAAGGCTGAAGCAGTTCCCCCCACAGGGGTTGTTGTTAGGCCCCAGAGGGTTTGTGAGCTGGACCGGCGGCATCCGAAATCACTATGCGTAGGGCCAGAGTCCACACTGGTGGTCAGTGAGTCGGGGAGAATTTACGGAGGAGGTAGGGCTTCGACGAAAGTCCATGACGTTGCCTAGTGTTCTTAGGTCTCAATGAGAAGGGCTATATAACAGGCCCTGATGGGGACGACTCCGAGAGTTTGTTCAAGCCGAGGCTAGTAGCATATCAGGAACTGGAGCAGAGCTTCGTAGGTGGAGCTTGGGGACTTGCTCTTCTACTTGTGTGCTCTATGTGAAGGTTACTGCTGTTAACTGTGGAGATCATCACACTGTAGCGCTGACCAGCAACAACCTCGCTATAGGCTGGGGCAGGGACAATGAGTTTGGCCAGGTAGAGACGTGGTGGGGTCGCCGATTGGATCACTTTGTGGAGTGTTGTAGGTCGGCCATGGTCAGCCATCGATCAAGCCGATGCCGCCTAGAATGATGGTGACACCGCAGGAGGTGTGCCAAGTGGCATGTGGTGGTGATTTCACTCTGTTGCTGCTTGAGACTGGAGAAGTGTATGGCACAGGGAACAACTCTGTTGGGCAGCTAGGTAGTAGCACTCTGGACTTTTGTAGGGCACTAGTCATTCGACTTGTGTGTACTAACGTTGGCGGGCCATCCCACTCTGTTGGTACACCTTTCCGTGGTCGCCAGGTACTGGTAACACTGAGGAGATAACCACACCGAAAGCTGTGTTGAACTGTGGTCAGACCTATGGAGTGCCGATACGCCAGGTAGCTGTTCTCTTGAAGGCAAAAACTTTCGAGTCGAAATGTTCGTCGCAGATTTCAGCTGGTGATGCACATGCGTGCGCAATATCGATCTCTGGAGTCCTGTTCACATGGGGCTCCAACCGCAAGGGTCAGCTGGGTCGAGAAGTAGGAGCAGGGATACGATAGGACAGATGATTGTATCCCCCTTCAGAATGCTGGTCATCGCGAAGTGCTGCCAGGACCTGTTAGTTGCCTGCCACCAACCAAGGCCGTCCAGATGGCCTCGTGTGGAGCGCAGCATACGGCAGCAGTAGTTCAGGGCGGCCAGGTCTATCTCTGGGGGGACAATGCTTCCGGCCAGTGTGGGGTTGATGTTGTTGAGGAACCGATTCTGCCGATACCCATCAATCTTCAGTCGAAAGGTAGACTCCTTCACCACTTGCAATCGTTCCCATTCTGTTCCACTAGAGGTGTGGAGGACAGTGGCTTGCGGTGGGCACCATACGCTCTTCTTGGACGTCAATGGGCAGTTGTTCGGCTGTGGCAGCAACGAGGATGGGCAGCTTGGAACGGGATTCCCGGGACGTTCGTCTGAGCTGAGGCCAACGCTGATGCCCAGGAGTTTGGCTGTGTTCTCTGTCGCAGCAGGTGAGAAGTGGTGAAATCAGTGTCTCGGATGATCCTTGCTGTCAGGCCGGAGCCACTCGGCGGTGCTCGCTATCAAGTCGGCAGAACGGCCAATGGTCCCACGAGTGAGGACCTCCGCACCGAAAGCCTTGGGTGCCGCTGAGCTGTTCAAGGCGCGCTCGATGGCCTTCCCAAGGGCGGGGAGGGAGGAAGCACCAGCACGTCCAGCGGTAGGCTAGAACGAATATAGGCGGAGCGAAACTGGAAATCTTGATTGTTGTAGACTGTTGATCCTGGAGATGGCAGTGCCCTTCGGAAGCAACGACGTATGATATCCACTCCTGTGGAAGGTGTGGCCCCCCTCGAGCCCTCTGATGACTCTGGGCTATTGAAGCGAGCTGATCCCTGTGAGCGGCATGCTGGGCATAAGCGGGAGACGTCACAGAAGTCGGCTACCGTCAGCGAGGCCACCTCGATGATGTCCGATGCATCGGGTGTTTCCCATAACTTGCCGAGGACCATCAGCGGTGGTAGCAAGGACTATTTGGCTCAAAAGGCTGGCGGCCGGGTGGGCTAATAATGATGATCTGAAGGTGATTCAAAGTGTTATTTCTGCAGATATCATTAACCCGGTCTTCTCGACATGGTGTGATACACGCTATGCTCCGTCAAGTGGTCACACCTGGGGTTGGTTCTACCTCCTTTGCGGCCCTTTCGGCCGAGTCACTGCTGCGTATGGTCCACACCTTCTCAAGAAGCACTGGCAGCAGTATGTCTGATGACTTCGTAACGAGTGTGGCCAACGACCTGAAGCGGTCACTCTTAGCGATATTTCGGACGCAAGATGGCATCCAAATGCTTAACTCGAGTCTCCTCTATCCCGGACACCGACGATCAGTGCTGGACACTCAAACGGCGTATGCCTGCTTTGCAGAACTCTGGGGGAGCCAGGCTTTCCAGGAGAGCAACTTCGAGCAAGAGCTAGCAGCGGTGGTTCGAGACTCTCTGCGCGATATGAGCGGCAAGAGCCTGGAGACCGCGGACCAATTACGAGGGATACTCACTGTCATGCTCCTCCCGTTGATGGATCGACCAGCTGGGATTTGGTGTCGGCAGAGGATGGGGGAGTTGATCTCCTGCCTGTCTCCAAAGGGCAAACTGGCTCTGGTAGGGCAGCGATCTTTCGCTACGACGTAACAAGCTGGAATGATATTCGTAACAGGTTGAGTTGATCGCTACCGAATGCCCACAGCACTACATACTCAGCGACTGCCTCATGAAGACGTGGCTGAACCAAGCTAATGCGTTGGCCAATGAAGTCCATAACCTGGGAGGCGGCAAGGTGGCTGTTCTTAGTCAAGTAGACGATACGTTGCCAGGTCCTTGCTGATGCGCTGTGTGATTCAGGCCATGATTGTTTTAACTGTTATAATCAGCGCTGCAGAAAAAGTGGGTCTACCTGGGGCTGAGGAGATTACGGTCACTGGGTTGGCTGAAGCCGTACCGCCCGATGTCGAATTCATGATGTATTCCCAGACATGGGCTAAGGAGTATCTCAAGTAGGACCATGAGTGGCTTTATTATGAAGCATGAGTGTTTCACTTTAGACCTGATCCTAATGGGGGACGTCCTATCGGGCGGTTGCCGAGTAAGTTAGAGGTGCTAGCTAAACCTGAGTGTGTCGGCCCTAATACGACTACTGTCACGGAGTATATGGCTTCGATGCTGGGCTATGGGTCATTGGTACCTTTGGGTTTCAAGAACAAGGTCTTGCAAGTTGAGAATGTGTTGCGGCAAGTGAAGCACAACCAGGAGCATCTACAGGTAGGTGTTCCGGCAGCTGCCACGTAGATATGTGTACCAGGCTCATCCGGGAATCATGGTCGATGCTTTTATGAGAGGCGTGCGGCCGAAGACTGTCCTACAAGTGCAAGTTCGACGAGACCATATAATCCAAGATGCCCTTCGTGTTGTAGCAGAGGTAAGGAAGCGAGCGTCTTTGTAGCTGAAGGGCTCTCTCTGCCATCCTCCTCTTGTTGCCGATCCTGAATCGGATTTCGGTCAGACTGATGACCAGCAGTTGAAGTTCCCGATGATGGTTAAGTTCGAGGGAGAAGACGTGGTTGACGAAGGCGGAGTACAACGAGAGTTCTTCGACATTCTCTGCAAGCAGTTGTTTGATTCACAGTGAGCACCGGTGTATACGGACGATGCTCTCGACGTTGCCTGTACTGCTGTAGATATGGCATGTTTGAGTACCTCCCTGAGGCTCGAGTGACGTGGATCAACTCCAACTCCGTGGAGAGCCCGGAGAATTTCCAGCACGTTGGCACTCTCATAGGCCTGCTTGTATACAATAACCTTCCTGGGCTTGGGGTAAGTGGGGTTGCATGAGTATCATGCTTTTCTACTCGACGGAATTTGATATAAGTCGGCGCTATTACTGGACAAACCACTCACTGCATATTCTGTGTAATCCATCTTGTGGTGGTCATTGCAGTTCATTTGGCAGGTACCGTTTCCTCGCGTTTTGTTTAAGAGGCTATTACAAGGCTTATCAGCTGAGCTCACTGTTGAAGACCTTGAAGAGGTCTTCCCTGAGGAAAGTCACAGTCTTCAGCACCTCCTCGACTACGAGCCGAAGGATCCCCAGCACTCTGACGAGGAAGTGAAGGTGAGAATCGACGGAAATTCTATTCTTCCTCTCATTTCTTATTGGCAGGATGTCTTCTGTATTTCCTTCAACGTGTCTTATGATTACTACGGAGAAAGCCGGAATCACGACTTGATACCCGACGGCGCAAACGTGCCGGTCACTTATTCGAACCGTGAGCAGTTTGTCAAGGAGTATGTTCAATGGAAGTTGGTCGACAGCATTAAGGCACACTATGATCCCTTCGAGAAAGGCTTTTATAGGGTCTTAGGCGAGTAAGTAGGGAGAGCATCCTTGACGCGGTATCGGCTCGAAGCTCAAGGGATAGAGTCTCTGATTGTAATTGTACTTTGCGCTGTGCCTCGTCAGTTCCCTCACCCTCTGTACGCTGACTCCTCTCGATCTTCACGCTATTTTGTGTGGAGAACAGAAGCTCGACTTTGATGCATTGCGGAAGTCAGCCCGATACGAGGGAGCTCCTTTCAATGAGGACTATCCGTATATACAGGCCTTCTGGAAAATCGTATCTGAGTTCAATGATACTCAGGCAAGTCTCTTATACTCGGTTCGTTGTCGATTGCTTACGCATCGTGAGACTGGCATCGCATGGCTCCCCGTGTGTGTTGTATCCGCCTCCTCTCAGAAACGGCAGTTCTTAAAGTTCTTCACTGGGAGTGATCGTGTTCCGTTGGGAGGGTTAGGCGCGATAAAGGTAGTCCCTCCGTTGGAATTGGTAGCCCACTGCTTTCCCATGTTGCGTAACTACTGCAGTCGTCCGTGGATTCGATCGTCATTGACTTTTCCTTTTCTCAGATGGTTGTACAAAAGAACGGCGGTGAGCCAACAGATCGCCTCCCTACGGCCTACACATGCTACGACGTTTTACTGCTACCAGAGTATTCCAACGCTGAGAAGTTGAAGGCGATGCTTCTCGCTGCCATCGAGAACAGCGAAGGGTTTGGCCTACAGTGAATCGAGCATCGTTGAATATTACGAACAGTATACATTTCATACACACACTGTATTTTCCTCAATAATGGTAACTATTCGATTGCTTCGTGTTACTAACTCTCATCAACCTTCGTTACGAACTGTGTCTCGAGTTCAAGTCTACCACTAAAGCGGCTCTGACGGTCTAATCCCTAAAGTTTCATTCAGAACTGTTCGTGAATGCCTCAACATGGGTCGCAGCCTTACAGGTCCCTTGCAGGTAAAACCAAGCAGAGGACAGCTATCCACGAGGTGAGAGCAGCTCGTCCGCAGTCTGTGTATATGCTACTTGTGTTATTCAGGATGCTCGTTTGGTAGTCCGACGTCGAACATTGTCAAGCTGTGGTGATCCCAGTGATACCGTAAGGTCTCGTGCATTGACCAGTCTTGGTCGTCTAGAGAGTAGCGAAATCAGTGACCGATTACGGTAAGAAGGACTATAGTTTTTGCGCGAGTTCTCATCTCAGATCTATCTTCGGTGATTCATTAACTGGGCCGATTAACCTTGACAAGCGTCGACATACCCTGCGGCGTGTATCTTCCTCACTGAGTGCTGATGAGGACAGAACCGACACCGACTTCATGGTAGGTTAGTCTGCTCCGTTGCTGGAGGGGGAAAGAGAGCAGTATTTCTTCAGCCAGTACTTCCCAGCACATTGCGGCATTCCTCATCGCCCTGGTCGTTCAACATGGAGGAGTGGGAACCTGATGATTCGCCTGAGGCTTCTAGTGGCGCCTTCGACAGGGATGGGTCCGATGAGGATGGAGACTCTGAGGGGAGTAGCGTTGTATATGTTGACGCTGCTGACCTCACGGCCGTGCTCCTCGATCGAAGTAGCATCCGCGAGCAGCATATCAAGAAGGTTATCCTGGATGTATTTGCCGAGCGGGTCGATATCTATGCTGAGGCCAATGCTACTGAAAATGCCCCTCCGGTGAGAGCCTCCGATGCCCTACTGCGGTTCTATGACGACGTTAAGATGATGTGAGTGCTAAGCGAGTTTCTGGGTTGCGTATGTTACTCGAGTGTATGATAGATATGAGCAGCTCCCAGGAGACGACATTGGTTCTTCGACGGTGGAAGATGGCATCACTGAATTCTGCGCGAACTTATGGTAGATGCGCTGATGTTGATATTTGAGCTTTCCACTTCCAACTGCTCAGGCTAGCTTTCGACCCGAACGCCCAGGACGTGAGGCGACGTTGCAGGGGTGTTGTGATCAGTGCCCGGAATATAGTTATTGCGGAAAAGCAGTCTACACGTAGGCAGTCTCTGAGGCTACTGGTGTCGTTGGTTACAGATTACTCATTCAGTTAACCCAGCATGGCAGCTGCTCCCGTTGCGGACGCGGCTTGCTCTTTCCCAATCTCCTACACGTTGGAAGGACATTCCGTAATAGTCCACAGGCCACCACCACATGAGCTCACTGTGAGTGGTGATCACATAGATACTCCGCGACGGGCAGAGATAATCTATGGAAAGGCCTCAAGCAGCCGATGAACAG